TGTCGCGGCTGACACAGAAGAGCGTACGCTGCTTGCGTTCAGTGGATATTCTCCAAAATGGCACTACGGTGATGTGGAGAGACACAGAGGAAGACGAATTGTTGAATAAAGTCATTATTTTTGTGTTCTTTGCATACAAAAAGTATTCTAGTCGCTTCATAAAATTCAGATTGAACCACTGATGGCAGATGGAGTATTCTGATGATACTTTTCATTAGGGCTGCACGATTAATCGCACCAAAATATCTTAAATTGTGTTCCGAAGACGAACGAAGCTTTTACTTGCTTGGAATGACATGGGGGTAAGTGATTAATGACAAAATTTTCATTTTGGGGTGGAGTATCCCTTTAAGAGCCATCGTTCTCATTGTGTCTGATTTAAATGTAACTTTGAACTCTTCCCACCTTTGTTGCCTCTGTCTCTCAGGACTTGCTCAGATGCAGAGTTCTGACTTCTGGGATCTTTGAGACAAGATTCCAAGTGGACAAAGTTAATTTTCAGTGAGTTTGACCGAGAGGCCTTCGTGAAACTTTTCACAGATTCACGGTGCTACGTTTGCATGTATTTTCATATCCATAGTCAACCTCAATCATCTTCACAAATTAATAGTAATAATAAGTGCTTAATGTGAACAGGACCATGTCAAACTGTCTGTGGCTGCCTAACTGATGAGTTTCCTCTTTTTTTTTTTTTTTCTGCAGTATGTTTGATGTTGGCGGACAGAGAGACGAACGCAGGAAATGGATCCAGTGTTTTAATGGTAAATGTTGTGCTTTTATTACTTAAAAAATATTATTATTAATAATAATAATGTAAGGACCGTCAATAATGGCTTTTGAATGCTGATATCAAAGGGAAGGTATAATTTTATAATAATGTAAAATACAGTTGAATTATACATGCAATTTAATAATGTTAAATTCAGAATGCACAAAAAATTATATTTAAACATTTATTTGATCTATTCACTAAGGTTATTAGTAGGGATGCACCGATACTGGTATCGGTATCGGGCCCAATACTGAGCTCCTGTACTCGTTAAAATGCCCACGATGCCAAACGCCGATACCACACAGCATGTGATAAGAGCAATATTCAGACAAAGAAATACCGACAACAGAACAGACAGCAGAATGGAGTTACTAGAGATTAAGGATGTCTACGGAGTATATGCAATGAATATAATGTTAAACATTCAGTATTAACGCCTGTATAGCTGATGTGACCGAGTTGATAAGCAAAGCATGCTGAGTGGATTGAGCGCGCGGCGGCGCAGATGCGCGAGCTTGTCGAGTGAATGTATCTTTCTCACAGACATCACTGGAAAGTTTGTAGTTCGGTCGGATGTGTCAAAAACAAGTAAAACAATGCACAAGTTACTTAACGGTATGGAGAGAGAGAGCGCGCGCACTTCTGTTGTGTGATCTTTGACGTTCGCTCACTTAGCACACGCATCATTTGGATTAAAACTAAATCGTATGTTTAACGGATGGCCTAGTCGCTCTCCCCCCTTCCTCTCCTCCCCTTTAGCCTGGCTTTTGGTCTGTCTTTTGATTTCTCTGCTGGATCATTATTCTTGTACAGACTGTAAAATGTATTATTTTGTACAACTTTATTGAAGAAAAAGTAACTTGTAGAAGCTCCCTGTGCCTTGATCACGACTGTACGTGTAAAATGAGCTAAGATGTAAGTAAGATATGTTTCATTGCGCTGTTTGGTTCTGCCCTGCCTCTGTCGATTCCCTTGAACTCTGACCCTCCCGACCCCCTCCTCAATTGCCTGTTTGCTCTTCAGACTCTGGGTGGAAGTTGCCTCCCTCACCCCTCCTTGTGCCGATCTTGAACCGGCCTCCCCGTACAACTTAAGAACTAAAAACTTATGATACCAGTGTCAGATCGGCGACCGAGTGCAACTTTTACTGACAATGCTTATCAGTGGAGTTTGGGGGGAGCTGCTGTCTGTCACGTCCCCCTCGCACCTTTATTTTTTTTATTTTCATTCGTTTAACCTGCCTCTGGTTTGTTTTAGGATCAAGACAAAACGCCTGATGCTGGGTAGTACAAAGCAAGAAACATTATATACAGTATATATAAATATATATTTATGTGTAAATATATTATTTATATATATATTTGTTTGCTTTTTACAGGTTTTCTTTGCCTTTTTTGGTCTGCAACAACAATAGTCAACATTTTTAGTGGCAGGGTGTGGGGCTTTTTTTTTTTTTTCTTTTTTTTTTTTTTTTTTTTTTTTTAACATTTATTGTGGAATAATGAAAAAAGTGAAAAAGACAGCAAATCTGTCGATGTATTAAGTGTACAAATTGTTTTGATAGCTGCACAGTCAGATATTGGGTTCATATCCCCCCTCCCATGGTATTCATGTTTATTTCTTTATATTAAAAAAGAAAAAGGAAAAAAGCTGCTCTACAAACTGACATACTAACAAAAAGAGGCCGCCCAGCTCTGATGCCATAATTTGAATCAAAAACTCTAACGTGTAATCGGTCTGATCCAGTTGTGTTTTCTGCAAAATGTGGTACAGGTGTTTATCTATCTATCTATCTATATAGGTAGATATCAATACACACACACACATATATATTAAAATAAATAAATAATAATAATAATTAAAAAAAAAAATATATATATATATATATATTTCTTTGATAAATAAAAAGTTAAAAAGAACAGCATTTATTTAAAATAGAAATCTTTTCTAACAATATACACTACAGTTCAAAAGTTTGGGGGTCAGTAAATTTTTATTCTTTCTTTTTTTTTGAAAGAAATTAAAACTTTTATTAGCAAGGATGTGTTAAATTGATGAGAAGTGATAGCAAAGATTTATATTGTTAGAAAAGATTTATATTTTGAATAAATGCTGTTCTTTTTATTCATCAAAGAATACTAAAAAAAGTATCGCAGTTTCCAAAAAAATATTTGGTAGCACAACTGTTGCCAACATTGATCATTCTAATAATAAATCAGCATATTAGAATGATTTCTTAAGGATCATGTGACACTTTATACTGGAGTAGTGCCTGATGGAAATTCAGCTTCGCATCACAGAAATAAATTATATTTTAAAGGATATTAAAATATAAACCATTATTTTATATTGTAATAACATTTTGCAAGATTACTGTTTTTTTTTTTATCTGTATTTTTTATCAAATAAATGCAGCCTTGATGAGCTTAAGAAACTCCTTTAAAAAAAACATACAAAATCGTTTTGAACCCAAACTTTTGAATGGTATTGTGTATATATAATTTTTTTGGTTATGGGCATGGGATGGGGTGGGGAGAGATGTTAAGCTATGATATTTTAGTAGGTTTACTTTTTTATTTTATTTTCTAGTTCAGACTCGCTGCAGCATTAAGTGAGTGTGATTCGAGTACCAAACGCCCCCTTGCCTGACTGTCTCTATAAGAAGTATTTTCAGTGTATATGTTGCTTTTTTTTCCATGTCTCTCACACTTACTGTACATTTTGTACAAAGATTCAAATTACAGCAGTAAAAGAAGAGTGTAACACTGTCTGAGTGACACACACATGCACACACACTTTTCACAAGGCTAACTCTGTTTTTTGGCCCAATCAAACTATAAAGGATAATGTAGTTGGTCTTAAAGGGATGGTGGTTCTTAAAGGTTTAATATACTATTTGCTACATGTTTCTAAAGAAGCAAAATGAACTTATCATTTGCTGCTTGAACTTCAATGGCACTATGCATTGCATATCCTAATATCATTTTGGAAATCATCTGGTTGTCTTTAAACTACGCTCATATGTTTCGCAGGCAGGATAATCATGACAAACTTCTATACATTTTTCAAGCAAATTTGCAACATCTTACATTATCACCTTTAGAAGTAAATAAGAAGTCTAGATTAGTGTAAGTTCCCATAGTAGGGTTTTATGAAAGAGGTTCAGTTTTAAAATAGTCACTGGGCTATTAAACGCGTTAATTGTAGCGTTTAAAACTGACTAAATTAACTTGTTTTGAATTTATCATCTTGCATATGTCAGATTGTTTGCATCAAACACTTGAGTTTCCAGATTCTGCTTATTTTATATATTTTGTAATACTCAATGTCAGAAGTCACTACTTTTCAATGGTTTATGATCTTTATTAGGCGACTATCTTAAGACCATAAATTTCGCCGCCGAGAGGCTGAATAGAGGAAACTAACTTGTCTGACGCGCTTGCTGATAATGATCATGGATCCAAAGATTGCGTTTTGTAGATTTATTTGCATGAGAAACAAACAAGGTTGTGCGTCCAATACATTCCATAATTGTTTCACTGGCATACGAAATGGTGTCCAAAAGTCATGATAAACGGCATTAAACAGCGTAAAAGGCTCTTTAGCGGTCAGCAAAAAAGAAGACTTCCTCCGTCACCCCCTCTTACCCAAACACACAGGTGAACAGATAAATTCTTACTACTTCCGCCACCATCAGGTGCCGCAATTAACACAAAAAATGTGTACAAAATAATAGAACTATACCTGGCTCTTACAATCTTTAAACCAATGCAACATCAGCAGTTCAAGCCACAGACATCAGAGAAGTGTTATAAAGTATGCATAATAAATTTGGGGTTACAATTTAAAACATTAGCTCAGATAATAAAATGTAAGTGTCTGAGTAATATTTTATTTTCACACTTAATGAAATCTACTGATGTTCCAATGGCTCTTAAGCATCAAGCCAAACAGTATTGAGTGTACATATGAGTAAATACAGAATTACATTTCACAGTATTTAGAGCCTAAATTAGTTTCGTTCAACTGAGTATTTTGTGAACATTATTGAAACCAAAAAATTGTGTATCTAAAGTCAAGTTCTGTAACGATAACAAAATTAGCCTTAGTCTTAGCCATCAATAATAATAAATATTATTAGGTTTATTATTAGAACTTGGTAAGGACCTACACAGTTCAACACTAGAAGCACACTAGCAGTTTCTATATGGTTTCATGACAGAAGGGTGTTTAAAACAAAAAAAAAGTATTTTAGATCATCGGATATTTATTTATTTTGTTTTGTTATTTAAAAGCTAATAGAGTGGTGGAACTATGATGTCACTTTGTAGGCGAAAACCTGGAAGCGAGTTAGCATTTTAGCACTTCCGGTTCCATCGTCCCAGAGTCAATGGATTTTTTAATGGGATTTTGGTTAAATCCCTAATATAAGGTCCGTGGTTCACACAGGCTCAAGATATTTTCACGTTTTATTCTACAACATAAAACACACCAGTTATACCCCACTCGTGATTTTTTTAAACTGCTATGTTTCCTAAAAAAAGACGGTTGCTAACAAGTTGCTAAATGGGACTACAGACGCTGTCGGAGACATTCAGCGTCATCACGCTGGACAGTTGATCAATTTACAGTATTGTCCAATCGTAGTATAATTTGTAATACAATTAATTTTAGAATAACCAGTAAATAGTTTCCCGCATTTTATATTGTTGTTGGGGAATGTTTTTTTTTGCTTTGCCCTGAAATGCAACAAGTGTTCGGATGGAAGATGCTCGTTTTATCGCTTTCCTACTGATACGGAGACTCTGGGTTCGTACCATAAGGTAAACTATGATTATTCCATGTAAACACCACATTTACCGGCTTAGTCGTGGTGAAAGTCAAACTTTAACGATGCGTAGTGCTTAAAGTCACGTTAAATTGAAATGTTTACGGCTGCATGAAGCAACTCGCTCACTCTGCTGTTATGTAATAGATTAAATGCACTAGAATTTTATTGAATAGTACATGGATACACATTTTTAATTAAAGTATTC